CGAATTCTCCTCCATTTCGTTATACGCATATAATTGACCTTTTTTGTCGACACATACGTATTGTTATGTCAGGAAATATATATATGGTTGGCTAAAGTCGGATTTAGCTACATAAATAAATGTAAATGAAATGTTCGTAACATATAAAAGTGTTATATATTGTTTAAGATAATTATTTTACAATTGTTGTTTATTTTTGTAATATTTTTCTTTCCTGATATTCCCTGATCCTCATGGCCGAAGTAAACCATACTTTATGTAAAGCTCTCAGTGATTTATTGCCTCATCATAATAACTTACTTCAATTCAAACTCTCATTTTCTAGTTATCAGCACATTATTGTTGCGCATACCTAATATATCAATTGTCATCGAAACGTATCCAACGGGCATTTCTTGGTAAATACTGTTAAATCGATACGTTTCACAGTGAAGTGTATTGAGACAAGATTGAAGAGGAAGTCAAGTGAGAGAACATCAATGATTAAAACATCATCATATTAATTATTTTAAACTGTTCCACCAAGAAAGAACAAGGGACAACCTAAAACGTATAAGGCTTTTATAACTTTAACATCCAATGATTTCATCATTTTTAATGACACATTTCTTCCTTTTTTTCCCATTTCTCCAACTATAAAGGCTTGAAATGCATCTTTTTAACATTTATGATGGCATGCAACACAGTTCTGTCCAAACTTATTCCATGATTCGCGTTGCATGATGCATTATATTTACATTCAATTACATCCACTCGTATTAATTGAAATTAAGAAAACATAATATTTTTTCACGTTTAAAAGCAAAACACCGTCATGAAAACAACATTAAATGAACAGCTTTTTCGCGGGAAAGATGATGCGTTTGTCAACCGTGACGAAATACACAGTTGATCAATAAACAAATAGTTCCACCTTGCATATTTTCTAATAGATTAATTTTACATTACCAGTATGTTTAACAAGCATTGATCATCTTATAAATTGCCAGTAGATCTAAATTTAAACAAAGATGCCAGGTAAAATATTTAAGTTGCAAAAAGTCAGAAATGTATTCATTGTTCGCGGAGAAAGCTGACCGTTTAAAAAACGGTTGTGCACCGGCTACGCTCATCAGGCAACGAAGCGGTTTGACTTTCAATGAGACAGAAAGTGCATCCGTAAAATGTGGAGTTTCCTTAGAAACCAGAAGACGATTTAAAAGATGCTGTTAGCTGAATTCTTCTGTCGTTCGACTGTGTCAACAGGACTAGTTCATCGTTTGAGCATTCATGCATTACTATCGATGAGTGGACTGGCCGACGAGCCGGGACGATTTCACCTGCTTCGTCACTTGCAACGGATGCTAGTGTAGGTTCTAGAGGACAGTGCATTATTCTGTTCTTTTGAAAAGGACCTGTTATAGGATCTTACAGAAGACACGCTTCGGTGGCCCGACATAAACATGATGTGCCTTGATTCAAAACCACAGTTATTCCATATTCAAGGGACATGTCCATGACGTCGCTGTCAGACATAGACTATTGGCTGGAGCACACGGGTTCGTTACAAATGTCTGTGGCTGAAGTTAGCACACTACGCATTTTCGACGCTGAATACGCGGACTTAAATTTCAGGGTGATTTCTTGTTGAAAATATCAAAAATGTATGTATATATATCATATTTACATGTATTTAATCCGTTGATAAACAATCTTATTTTTGGTTTGTTTGTGTTTGTGTGTGTTGGGGTCAGAGGTCTTGCAACGGTATATGAAGTACTGCTAATATTACTACACACTTGTTTTTATTGAATCATGCAAACATTTTTAGTTGGTACTGTTATCTAGTTGCACTGCAACACAAATGTATATATATAAATATAATCATTTATTTCAGCAAAGTGATGTGTACAATACGAGTAAATATTTTGGAAAATGTTTTGTATGGATCTACTTGACTGAGCAAAGAATATCCAGACAGATTCGTATAGTATCTATACATGTTGCACTAGTGTAAATTTGTCAGAATAATTTAAATATGCCCTCTGTATTTGATTCATTATGGTTATATTGACAGGCTTAATGTTTCTTCCCAAATACTCCTCCGCACTAACTGAATTCTACCCATTTGTAAACTGTTTTTTCCAATAGATGTATCCAAATAGTGAATGAATACTCCACTGATATATAATGTTAACAATGAATTATGTGGTTGCTCTTTTCTTTTGTTTCATATATCTGCCTGGTTTTGACTGGATACAATGACAGAAGGTAAGTAATTGCTTTGTGTTCACTACAACCACCTGTTTGCAAAGCATGCCCTTCCTGTTAAAGTTCAAAACTAAAATCTCGATTTCGCAATCAAATACAGGATGTTTTTTTCTGCATCCTTGCTCTTATTCTCCTCCATTTCGTTATACGCATATAATTGACCTTTTTTTGTCGACACATACGTATTGTTATGTCAGGAAATATATATATGGTTGGCTATAGTCGGATTTAGCTACATAAATAAATGTAAATGAAATGTTTGTAACATATAAATGTGTTATATATTGTTTAAGATAATCATTTTACAATTGTTGTTTATTTTTGTAATATTTTTCTTTCCTGATATTCCCTGATCCTCATGGCCGAAGTAAACCATACTTTATGTAAAGCTCTCAGTGATTAATGGCCTCATCTTAATAACCTACTTCAATTCAAACTCTCATTTTCTAGTTATCAGCACATACTTGTTGCGCATACGTAGTATATCAATTGTCATCGAAACGTATCCAACGGGCATTTCTTGGTAAATACTGTTAAATCGATACGTTTCACAGTGAAGTGTATTGAGACAAGTTTGAAGATGAAGGCAAGTGAGAGAACATCAATGATTTAAACATTGTTAAATTAATTAGAACAATGGAATATTTAAAAGTATAAGTGATCTATAACTTTAACATTTAATGATTTCATCATTTGAAATGTCACCTGGCTGACTTTCTTTTCCCTTTCTAAAATTATAAGGATTTAATATTAATATGAACAACTGTTTTTACAAAGTGGTATGTACAATACGTGTGTACATTTTAGCGAATGTTTAGTCTGGATCTACTTGACCGAGCCAAAAGTATCCAGACTGATTCGTAGAGCATATATACCTGCTGCTCTAGTGTATATCTGTCAGAATGATTTAAATATGCCCTCTGTAGTTTATTGAATGTGGTTATTTTGACACGCTATATGATTCTGTCCATTTAATCCTTCACATTAACTTAATTCTCCGCATTTGTGAAAACTTTTTTTTTAATGGACGTGTTTAAAAAGTGGATGAATACTCGAGTGATAGATAATGTTAATATTGATTTATGTGTTTGTTGTTTTGTTTCGTGTATCTGCCTGGTTATGACTGGATTCAATGACAGTTTGTAAGTAATTGCTTTATTTATTCTACATATAACTGCTTGCACAATCTGGCCTTCCTTTTCAAGTTCAAAACCGCCATTTCAATTTAGCTATCAAATAGTGTTGTTGTTTTTTTTATTCTAAACTAATTTTCTTTAATTTCGTTATATGCATTTACGTGACTTTTTTGTCATAAACGTATTGTTATCAAAAGCTTTATATCTAGGTTTGGCTATGGAATGGGTTAGTTACATTTATAATTATAAAAGACTTGTTTGCAGAATATCAATGTGTTATATACTTTTGTTGTTGTTGGTTTTTAATATTATTCTTTTCCGATATTCCCTGATCTTTACGGTCATAGTAAATGATACTTTGTTTAAAGCTCTCAGTGATTGATTACCTCTTTTAAAAGAGCCTACTTAATTTCAAAGTTTCATTTCATGGTTGAAGGCACATCATTGTTTCGCATACAGAATATATCTCATTGACATCAAAACGATCCACCGGACGCTTCTTGCAAAATACAGTATAATAAATGCATTTCAGAGTGAAGTGTATTACGTAAAGATTAAATATGAAGGAACGAGGGAGAACAACAATGATTTATACATTATCATATTCATTATTTTATTCTGTTCTATCAAGAATAAACTATGAAATACTCTAAAATTATAAGGCTTTTATACCTTTAATATGTAATGATTTCATCACTGTAATTGATACATGACTTTCTTTTGTTTTTCATTTTTAAAATTACAAATACATTTTATAAATGTATTTTAAATTTGTGATTTTCTAAAAAAAAATCCATTAACATGTATTGCAGTGTATTTGATCCCTAGGAAATTAACTAAAAACAAATGCATGAACGAGGCTACATTTTTGGATTTTATAAAACAAATTCATTAAAAAGTTTTTTATCTACATTTTGTTTTCACAATCCAAGAAATTAGACCAAAACTGATTTTCTCTAACGAGTTATGCCAGTTTGTAGATGTTTGTCTTTTATGTTACACTTTGAAAACATGAAATGTAATGGCACTTGAACTTAGTTAACAAAATACTCTTTTAATTATTGTCAAATATCACTTGAAATAACTTTTAATAATGAACGTTGGACTTGATAGGCCCTACCGGTCAGGGTCGACAGGGCCAAGAAAGTACTTGTATGGCTACTTTTAAATACAATGCCTGCTAATTCGGTGATTTTGAAATCGAACGCAGAATACATGAACAAATGATTGTTTGCCTTTATATAAGCAATTGTGACTTTATTCTTTTGTTATTCCTTTTTCTGGCTGCGCTTATCTGATACAGTTTTCAAAAATGATTATTTTACGGCATAATGAAACTTACCATAAATGTTAAGATCATCAATTTGGTCATGTTTACCATGTTATAACAATAGATGAAACTATATCACAGTCAAATCAATGTGTATGATAGGAAGTGTGTTGTTAAAAGAAGACATTTAAGTTGCTTTGCACTATTGTTTATTCATGCTATTACTTCGGTTATATTATGTGTACAGTTATAAGTAAAATATAAATAAAAACAGATGTTGCCTTTGTAACTGGAGTAAGACGGGCCCAGTTTGATTTTATTTAAATTGACATATTAGTATAGGGACACAATTGTGAGGCCTGCCAATTCAGGATAAAATCTTTCGAAAAAGGACAACATATCATTGCCGCCAATCTTCCAGTTCATGGACACTTTGTGATGTACATGTGTGTTCCTAACTTCTGTTTCATATATCCCTCCGATTACGGCTGGATCCAATCACAGACCGTAAGTAATCTACAAGGTATCAATGACTTACAGTATAGAATAACGTTTTATATTATGCATTAATTAAAACGAAATAAATTTTCCTTGTTCCATTACAAATAGACGTATCGTATTAAAATGCTTTCTTGATAACACAGAATATATGTCTTTAGTTGGTTTAAGGTGTAAATGAATTACATAAAAAATGAAAAAATAACATAAAAAGCACAACGACAAAAACAAAACAAAACAAAACTCGGTAACCCCCCCTACATTTTGTTACTATTTTTAGCAGGTAAATACGTTTGCTTTCAATCCAGTGAAAAAAACTTATATCTATCGTTCAATTAGCAAAATCGGGTGAAAAATGAAGATTTTTAAAATCAATAGTAGGCATTGGGGTAACCGTAACTGATATTTGGAGATCAAAATATAATTTGATAACTTTTTACTTTAATAATATAGAAGAAAATATCTTCTTATACTCATAGATTTTTGTTAACATATTTCGATGAAATGGTTCTGCTAACGATTAAAATGACAGATTCCACCCATAATCAATTATTACTTAAAATTCGTAATTTTGAAACATTAGAGAGAAAAATCGAGCACACGTACATATAATTTTTCTTTTAATTATTTTATATTTTTTCATAATATCTTCTTTAAAATAAGGTATGATTATAAAAGTGACACTATAACATTTTGGCTTTTCACAAGAGCGGATCCTTAGCATCAAACTAGTTAGTTGATACAACATGCTTACACTGAAATGCAATATTTTTCGTTGCAAAATACTCTTTGGTCTGAACTTACATTTATACACTTGTAAAACAATGGATGTGCTCACGTGATTATTTATAATAGGTATAATGAATTATGTCTAGTGATATTGATTAGTTGATTACTATATTGTCCATATATCAGTATGATTTACTGCAAGCTAAAAAGTGTATACAATATGGTTACGTTGAATTGAAATAGGCTATTTTTTAATCTTTCATATCAATTTAAATGTATGCATTTGACAATTCGCTGTATCAGTCTTGTTCAAAGGGTTGTCGTGGAATATCAGAGTGACGATAATGTTAACAATGATTTATTACATCTATAATATATTGAGAAGTATCTTTGATTCCACGAAGGTCTTCCTTTGGCTTAACCTCAGTGGAAAAAGGACTATTGCTTAATAAATCAAAGTCCTGTGTTGTTTTGTTTGAGCTACTCATTTTACCTTTAGGTCCGCCAAATCAACCCCGCGCCATGCAAGTGACCAATGCTGACCGAGCGTCTTTGGCTATCTCTTGGAATCGACCGTTAAGAATAGTCGGATCGCCAGTAACAGGATACATCGTTGAGAAACGAACCGCTTGGACACAGGTTTCCAAGGTCTCCGCAAATGAGCTCTCCTGTGTTGCTGACAAACTTATTGAAGGCACAGAGTATGAATTTCGCATCACTGCTGTCAACGAATACGGCAAGGGCAAAGCTTTGGAATCCGACCAGACCTACATGGCTAAAAGCCCATATAGTAAGTTCATATCAAGATCTCAACTAGTGGTCAGTTAGGGGTTTTATTGTCATGACCGGTTTCATAATACAGTGCAATTTTTACGACTAGATTATCAACTTAGTGTAAGTTAGAACGTTCGTTACATCAAATTCTACAAATTCATCCTGCATGTTTGATCCAATTAAAAAATTGAAAGTAAACCAGGTCTATAATATAACCAGGTCGCATGCATACTAAACATATCATAATTTGAATAATGATACCAAAAAGAATATAAGCAAGGTAAGACCTACCTAGGTGAGGTCTTTTACAATAGCGATGTTGTCGTTATGCCGTTTTTATTTTTCCTTTTGAGTGGACCTTCAATCGGCAGAGAAACAGTTTCCATTATATTTGATGTGAAACGGATGCCATGTATAATCTGGTGATATGCAAAATTCTTTATGGATTAACCTTTGAATGTTCTACAAAATACGATTAAGGGAATATTCTGTGGTACAAATGGTTCTAAAGCACCAATTGCCGTGATTTCATAAAGTCCAAGAATAGATTGATTACTCTAATATATAATAAAAAACAGTTTTAATCTCCATTGTTTAATTTCACTGCAATCTTTTCAGTTAGTATAATATGATAATACTGAAATGCATCATGTTGATTTAAAATGCTCTATATTATATTTCTGCAACTTCATTGTACGTAATCGTTATTTTTTTCTAACAAAATACGTGTTCAAATGGTTGTTGAATATAATATTTAAAACCCCCATTTATAATCGTTCTTTCTTGCCTTTTCGGTTCGATCTACAAACAGGACAATAGTTTCTACAATATTTTCTTATATATATTTATCAACAATCATTCTTGTTCGTATTGAAATATATCTGATACACCTATTTTTATTTTTATTTTTCTTTGGTTATAACTGAATAACTTTAGTGATTGGTTTTGCATATCGTTTTTTTCAAAATTTTTAAAATTCTAAATGCTTGATTCCTTAATCCGAACTACCAGTTCCACTTTCTCCTTTCATTTCCATACAAGTAATGTACAGTTTCTTAATATACGAACGTGTCTAACGGCTATGTTTTCAAAGCACTGTATTATCGGTGGATTTACCAAGATTGGCGTTTAAAGTCTTTGCTATTTAAGATAAACGTTGCACTATAAAGTATGTCATAATTGAGAAAAATGTCTTAGGTCAGGAAAAAAAA